TGAGCCTGGGGCCACCTTACACCTAGAACAACAAACTAGGTAGACTTATTTTCAGGTCCAGGAGAGCACAAAAGAATGCCAACTCCTAGAATGGCAATGTCACTCAGTAACCCATTTAACAAATATTAGCAAGCACCTATGATATGCCAGGCTCTGTTGTGGGTCCTGGGGTCCACTACTGAAATATGACAGCAATCTCTGACTGCTTGGAGTTTATGTTATGTGGGGAGGGGAGAGATAATAACCAAGAAAAATGTAATAAGGTAGGGAAGGGGTATACTGAATGTTCAAGGAAGGAATAGCAAGTTTAAATAGGGTGGTCAGGAAATGCCTCACTAAGCGATGTTTAAGTACAAACTCCTAGCTGTAAGATTTTGAGTGCCTCAAGAAGGTGTGTTCTGTACTTCAATCCCACTATCAGGAGACCTCAGACCCCTGAAGGCATGCTATCCCCAGTTCCTAGCACAAATACTGTTAATCTCTTATATTAAATACAAAGAGAGCTCTAAAATCCATACCTTGTCCTTAGTAGACAGATTACAACTTTTTTTTAATAATGCATTTTTATCATTTCATTTTCTTTTATACATTCAATCACATTATTTAGCTTACAAAGTGAATATTTCAACATGGGAACATTTCTTCGTAGTCCAGTTGATTAAATTTTCCAAGTGCAAAAACAACCAAGAGCAGAGTTCAGGACTTTAATGAGATATACAAAGTGCCTTTCAGGATAACTAGGAATCCTTCCTGAGGGAAGGCAGTGTGCTCAGTGAGGCTATCCCACAGAAGGCAACTTCAGGGCAAAATATTCAGATGAATAGGAATTATTGGCAGGGTGGGGGTTGGGTAGCAAGTTAAGGTTTTAGGAAGAAAAATGAAAGGAACCATTTGAGTATAACATCCCAGAGATGAGATCAGGAAACTCATTTTCTCCCTGACTATCTTTGCCTAAGGTACTCTATCCATCCCAGGACAAAACAAGCACACAATCACCCTCAGGCTCTCTGGCCTGGCTGTTGGGAAATCCTTATCACTTACCACACCCTCATTTCTCCTAGCCTGCAAAAGAGGAAGAAGCTGAGTCAGGTGCACATCCCTAGAGTCCAGGTATATATCCCTAGAATCCAAAGTTATCCTCTCCTAACTTCAGGACAATTACCACTGAGCTGAACACCCAGGAGGTTTCTTCCATCCAGGTATACTCAGGGATATGTGCTTATGGTGGCAACAAGGCTACTGGCCCTGGGGGTGGAAATTAAGTGGGGAAGACATCAGTGAGGTAAGTGGTCCAAAGTCTCCGCAGTGTATCTGAGGTGGAATCAAAGATCACAACTCGGGTTTGGCTTGGAGGGAAAGTTTTTAATCACTTTGTCCTCACCCCTAAGTTATTTAGTGTTCCTAACATCCAAGACAATAGAGGTGATGGGACAGGATAGGAATACGAGCTCTGCCCCCATCAGTCCAATAATTTACAAGGCCTCTGCCCCCATCAGTCCAATAATTTACAAGGCCCGTAACCTCTCAGAGTCTCTTTCTCATCATAACAAGGTTATAATTGTCTACTGCACTGCACAGAGCTGTTGTGACAATTGTGTGAGATAATTATATAAAGAACTTATCACAGTGACTAGCTCAGTGGCTTCTGTCTACCATTAGTAGTAGCAGGAATTAAGGGGGAAAGCTGAGAGCATCAACCAGTATGTTACACACACTCAGACACCAACTACCCCACTGCAGGCTTCCAAGCTCGGTATCACTGTGCTGACCCCAAATGAGGCATGTAAATTGTATTACCAGAAATGTTCCTTCCCTTGCCCAACAAGACCATCTCAAGCCAACCTAGCCCTCTTTTCCTACTAGGATTTCCAGCAGGTGTTAAACTACCAGAAAACTTCAAGAAGGCCACAACTCTGCATTAAATACTGGTCTCTGGCAGGGGGGTATATGCTTTGGATTATTAACACCTAAATATGAATGGATTTATGAGACGTGGGTGTGGGGAGGAGAAAGAGTAGAAAAGAAGCAAGTTAAAAATAGGAGGTCCAGTTTAAAATGATGATGAATGTCTGCCACAAATGTACACAAGGTCTAGGGTCAACTCTGCCAAAAGCAGTATTCTGGAATGCTAGGTCCCGAAGAAGCAAGGGGAAGAAAAGGTTGGTTAATGAGAAGCAGAGCACTTGGTAAAGCCACCAGAATTGTAACCAAATTATTTCACTTACACAATGAAAAAAAAAAAAAAAAAGAAAGCCCTGTCACTCCATGTTAAAAGGCTGGATGACCACCTTTTCTGCCAGCTAACAGCCCATTACAAGAAATAGAAGCGGTCTGTGCCCCTCTGGAGACCCTGCTCCAGGAGCAAATCCCACCGCCTGCCAGAGAAAACAGTTCAGCTCCAGAGCACACAGACTGGTCCCTAGCAGCAAGCACGGAGGAGCCCATTGAGGCAGGACTCCTGGCCAACCCGCCTCCAGCCTTTACCTGTGGGGGACCGGTCAAAGCCAGCGAAGTTGATGCTGCGAGGTCCGAGGTCCGACGTCTGCAGAGACACTGAGAGGCAAAAAGGACACAGCCCGCGTGAGCGACGGGTGGGCCAGGGAAGGGGCCAGGAGGGAGCCAGAGAGAGAAAAGTGGCAGGGAGGGAGCGCCCCAAGCAGACGGGAGCCAACGCGTGGGGGTGCGGTCCGTGACAGGCAGGAGAGAGGGGAGGTCAACTAGGAAGAAGGAAAAACGGGGAGGGCAGAAGAGTTTAGGGAAGGACGTAGGTCCGGAGATGGGATCAGGGACTCTTCGGCCCCGAAAAGGGGCTGGGGGCCCAGAGGGGCTCCGGACTGAGGGCGAGGGGAGGGCCGCTGGCGGCGAACCTACCTGTCAGCTGCAACAGGTGCCCGGAGAGGGCGAGATGGCCCAAGGCTGCTTTCAGGGGAGGGTCTCCGGCTCCGGGAAGACCGCCACCGGGCTCCAGTGGCCGGCTGGTCTCACCCTCCCGGGAGGCGGAAAAAGCTTCAACTTTCCCTGGAGCGGGGAGGAGCTGGTCTCTTAAAGGAGCCGCACAGGACTCCGGGCTCAGTAGAGGGCAGCTCAGCCTGAAGGAGAACTCTAGGAGTCAAAGCCTTAACACACTGAAAGGATGTCCTCCTCGGTTAGCAAAGGGAGCCTGGGGACTGAGGATAAGGGTCAAAGACCAGACCTGTGCTTTCTCCACTCCCCGTCCCACATTTCCATCTGTGGTCACGGTCTTAGATGGTAAAATCACCTACTTCTGCTCAGTTAAACCAAAAGTTAAATTGTCGAGTACTTCTATGAAGACGAAGACTCTGAGCTATATCATCTGGGAAGATAAAGTATGACACAACTCTGGTCCTTTGACTTTTGGCTTTTTATGGCAATCTAAGGTGTCTGGCTGAAATAGAAATGTTTGGGGGCAAAAGAAATAGACTAAATTTACACATGCATCCCCAAGGATTCAACTGGTTAAAATAATTGACTCACTGGTAATCAAAGAAGAGCAAATTAGAACAATAATGAGATTCTTTCACAAAGAGTTGTGTTTGCTTATTCTATTATAACACTTAATGATGATAAAGTAGCCACCAAACAACTCTCATAATTGCTGACAGGAGTGTATATTGGCTAAAAACCCTTTTAGAAAGCATGTGAGCAATATGTATCAATAAACTTTAAAATGTTTATATCTACCCAGTAATTGCAGATTCTCCTCCCTCCTCCCTCTCCTCTCTCCCCTCCCTCCTCTTCCCTATCCTCCCTCCTCTCCCTTCCCCCTCCACCTTTCTCCCCTCATCATCCCTTCTTAACAGTGGCCTCTAAACATACTCAAGTCCTTTCCAGTAGTCCTCAGCAATTAAACATGCTCAAGTCTCTACCATAATGAAAAAAGCATATCCTGCCTAGACACCAGGTCCCAGTCCAGCTCCTCTTTATGGGCAAACTTACTGAAAATGTACTTTACAGGCGCTTTAGGAATTTCCATTCCCTTACCTCTAATTTATTTCTCCACCCTCATCAACCTGGCTTACTTTCCCACTGAAAGTACTCAACAAGATAAGTCAACCAACGATCTAGTGTCAATCAATCAATTAATAAACAAATAGGGACATTTTCAGTCTTTATCTTGCTGACCTCTCCCCTACTTTTAACTCTGTTAGTTGTTTCCTCCCACTGGAAACTCTTCCCATGGCATCTATAACATCACATTCTTTTCTTTTCCTCCTATTTATTTGCCCTTTACTCATTCTCCTTTGTAGGTTCCACTTCTGCTCTATGACCTCTGAAAGTCAAGCACGCTCAGGGCTAGGACATATATGTTTTCCCTAAATGAGCTCTTTAACTTACGTGGCTTTGTTACCACCTATATGGGCACAATTGTAATTCTGTAACTCTACCCAGACCACTTCATTGAACTCAATTTTCTTAGCATCTCCACTTGAATGTGCTGCAGGCACCTCAAACTGAACACATCCAAAGCTGAACCCACCATCTTTTCTCTTAAATTTCCTCTTCCTGCAGTATTTCCTGTATCAGTAACTTATAACATGCCACTGGAGATAAAAACCTGGCACCTAGCACAATATCTGATATATAGTAAGCCCTCAATAATATTTGCATAATGAATTAATAAATGTGTCCTAAGGAAAACAAGATGTACATGTTTTTGTTCACTTATGTTAATCTTAGTATTGCTTACAATAATAAAGTACTAAAAAAGCTTGATGGTTAAGTAATTTATAGTATGGTCTTACAATGGAATAGTATATAGCCAACCAAACTGATATTTTCATATAGTTTATAATGACAGGGAAATGCTTTTGCTTCTATATTAATTGAAAGTAGTATAGAGCATTTAATATAAAATATAATCACAACAATTAATGGAAGTAGGGAATGTGCATGGAACAAAGATTGTGAGGAAATATGCAAAATATTAATAGTGGATGCCTCTACTGGGGAAATTCATTTAATGAATTTTAGTTTTCTTCCTACTTTTCTGCATTTTCCAAGTTTCTTATGGTGATCATGTGTGTCTTGGATAACATAAAACATCTTTTTTGAAAGACCTTTAACAGGGTAAAAAAATTTTTTTGAGGGTGTGCACACTCACTGGAGAGACAGAGACAGTGAGAAGGAACATGAGAAATCACCCCCCGGGCGTGGTCACACTTCAATCCTCAATTTTCCTCCTGGGATCTTGGACACACATGCACAAGCACCCAGCATGATTTTGAATCCACGGGGTCCAGGACTTGAACTGCAGTCAGCCATGTGGGAGTCCAGCAAAGTAACTGCTATGCCATCTGCTAGCCTGGAAAAAATTATTTTAATTCTAGCAGACAAAACTGTGAAAATTAAGCTCATAGGCTTTACTCAGAGTTTTCTTCCATACTTAAGTCTGTCAACACTCAACACTACCCTCACTCTAAAATGTGGAGAAGCTCTTCAAAGAGGAAATCCTTTTGTTCTGCCAAGTTTTGCCAGCTCAGCCCTCTTTCAGCCCCTCTGCTCAGCTCTGTGCCTTCAATGTGTTCCACCCCTCAACCTGGCATGTAAGAAACCCAGACCAAGAACTTCTTTCTCCTTTGCAGGAGGGACTTGACAGGATCTAGAAACATAAAAGAAGTCCTTCTGAAAACATTTAGTCCAACCCCCTTATTCCTGAGCAAAAGCTTTTACTTCTTGTGTAGTTTCTCACTCTCCGGCTCACTAAAGAGAATGTGAGGATCTAACCCCCCTTCTCTACAACATTCTCATTGATTCAGCTGCAAGTACATAGAGAGGGAGCAACACAAACAAGGATCCAGAACAAAATTATTCAAAGGCACCTTCACTCATATTCTGTGTTTTGCAAACTGTTGTCCATTTCTGCTTGAGCCTACTTATTGGATGCTGTATTCAAATTCTTATACTAAATATTGTGAAAGATCTGATGCAAGCAAGCCAGGCTTTATCCTGTACAAATAATATAAACAGGAACATATGGATTATCACTTTACATATAGTATGTCATCTCCTGTCACATATTCAATGATTACACTCAATGAGTTGTTTGATTTTGCCATGTTGAGGGAGTTCTGGCTAGTGCAAACTTAAAAAAAAAATAGAGATTTTTCTCATTTCCAGGTGACAGGATACCTCATTATTGAGGAGTTTTTTCTTTTTTTAAAGAATTGAATTATTGTTATTTAATTTGCTATTGGGGATATGTGCTCACAGACACACACACACACACACACACACACACACACAGAGAGAGAGAGAGAGAGAGAGAAAAAAAAAAAGATGACAGAGAGAGAGAGAGAGAGAGAGAGAGAGAGAGAGAGAGAGAGCAAAAAAGCAAGCTGCCAGGTCCAGGACTCAAACCACGCATGGCCATGTGGGAGTCTAGAGTCTTAACCACCATGCCACCTACTGGCCTCAAAGAGTTACTCTTTTTAGAAGTATTAAATATTTCAAAAATACAAATACACATAGGGAAAAATGCAACAACAAGGATACGCCAACCATCCAGTTTAAGAAATAACTCGTTACCAATACAATCAAAGCCTCTGTGTGCTCCTCCATCCCAAGATTTTCACAGCCTCAGATTTGGTTTCACTCATTTCCATGTACATCTGTATACATTTACATTAGTCTGTCTGCTTTATCTGCAATTTTGTTTTCCACAGTTTTAGTTACTCATGGTCAACCACTGCCTGAAAAAAGGTGGATGGGTTCAGTATGATAAGATATGTTGAGAGATAAAGATAACATTCACATAACTTTTATTATATTATATTATAAATGTACTAATTTATTACTACTTATTGTTTTTGATGTCTTACCATTTACGAGTTGAACTTCATCATAGGTATGCATATACAGAAAAAAAAACATAGTGTATATGGGGTTTAGCATTATCCATGTCTTGAGGCATCCACTGGGGGTCCTGGAACATATCCTCCCTCCCCAGATAAGTGGGGACTGTTGTATTACATCTGACTCTCTATATATAAACAATATTTAGTATTTTATATAAATAATATCACTCTGTATGTACCTTCTGCAATTTGCTTTCCACACTCAGCATCAGATTTATGAGATTTATTCCTATTGATAAATGAAACTCTAATTCATTCATTTTCACTTTTATAGACCTGTCTTTTTTTTCAAGTTTTTTTTTCCCCCATAGGTCACATGCACTTGTGGGAGAAAGAGAGAGAGAGGAGAGAAACAGAGAGAGAAAGTGAGAAATCACCCCTCGTGGGGAATGGCCACACAGCAATCACTTTTGCTCCATTCTTCTCTCAGAATTTTGGGCACGGATGCACAAATGCCTGATGTGATTTTCTAGCCACCAGACCCAGGAATTGAACCATGGCTGACCATGAAGGAGTCCAGTGCCTTAACTACCATGCCACCTGCTGGTCCCTAGAGCTGTCTTAATCTGTTCTCTGCTACTATAACAGAATACCTGAGACTAAGTAATCTGTAAACAATAGAAGTTCATCTGGCTCATAGTTCTAGATGTTGGGAAATCCAGGAGCAC